CAGTGAACCTGGGATCTCACTTCATGGAGGATGGCCAGATCATAGCAAGCACGGACGACCCAGATGATTATGAGTCACTGAACAACCCAACTTACAACCAGATCATCATTGACATAACCACATCATTCACTGTGCTTGTCGGTATTTTCTTCCCTTCTTGCACAGGTAGGTACTCTTCATAATATTTCAGATGTAACATATTGTGAGATGATGGTGTTATAGATTGGTGTGGTTATTGCAGTCGTAACTCATTTTGATATTGAATGAATTTTGTTGGCTCTCTCTAAGTAAAATACATTCCACAGGAATCATGGCTGGAAGCAACAGATCTGGTGACTTGGCCGATGCACAGAAGAGCATTCCTGTAGGAACCCTAGCTGCCATCTGCACAACTTCATTTGTGTATCTCTCCTATTTGCTCCTCTTTGCTGGCTCATATGACATTCTCTTGATGAGGGACAAGTAGGTTTTCTCTTTTTTCTTTCTTTCTCTTGTTTCTTTTTGACTAGACTTTTGTGGTCTGGATATCAAAAGATTCAGTTATGTACAGTTGCACTTAATATATGCTATTTTACAGGTTTGGCCAGAGTGTGGGAGGAAAGCTGGCTATTGCGTCCATTTCTTGGCCCAATGAATGGGTAATCTTAGTGGGCTCACTCCTCTCCACTGTGGGCGCTGGGCTACAGAGTCTTACGGGAGCTCCAAGGTTAATCCAGGCCATAGCAAAAGATGGAATTATTCCCTTCCTTGCACCATTTGCCAAGTCCTCTGCCCGGGGAGAGCCACTCAGAGCACTGTTGTTCACAGGCTGTAAGTGTGAGACTTTCTTACAGGACCTTTAAATGTTGTTGCATAGATCATATTTGCCAAAGGACACTCGATAGTGATTTGAAAGTCCATTTTAGTTTACCACAATTTTAGATATAATATAGAAGATATGCTAATAGTTCTCATTTCAAGCTACCTTGTAACTTCTTTTATAATTTCTTTAAGAATATCACTTAACATAAAACATATATATTAACATACCAATTACCTCTTTATGGATCTAATTTATTGATTTATTCATTTCCTATCACTGATGCTGGCTCAAAGTAATTTTCAAAACTAAAGGCAGTATCAAATTCACTGATTCATTTGAATAAGTTTTATCTTCTATTCAGCATTATTAACCCAATGCTGTACTAATTTTTATTTTTTTGTGAAATTTCTATGCACGTAGATGGCTCTGCTAGTGCTTTGCCTCAAAGGAGACCTTTTGACCTTACCTGGTTTCATCTTTCCTTGAATTGGTGGGAAAAAAAAAAAAAAAATTGTTTTTTGTTTTTTTTTACCTAATGCTATGAATATCCATGGTGTTATTTTTAGTATAGACATTATAATTATTAAAAGGAATAGAGTAAACAGATGAGACAAAAAGTGACCCATTGGCAACTCAGTACAAGTGTAGCCATCAGTGTGTGAAAACAATTAATAAAGTAAACTCACCTTGGGTATGGCATGTATTTACATGCCATGCCCATTGGATTTGGGTTAATACAGTATTGTCAAAAGTTATTTGATGAGACCATTAAAATGAATCTTTGTCTCCACCCCAGGTATTTGTCAGATTGCAATCTTGATTGGTAACCTGGATTACATTGCGCCAATCTTGTCCATGTTCTTCTTAATGTGCTACGGCTTTGTCAACCTTGCCTGTGCCCTCCAGACATTGCTGCGCACCCCAAACTGGCGTCCAAGATTTAAGTACTATCACTGGTAAGGGATGACTCTGGCTGTGACGACAGAGGCGTAGGTGCCTTTTCCTCCTCCTCTTCATTTTGTCTTCTTTATCTTTTTTGGACTGATTTTATGGTATGCCTTTATATATACTGTATGTGGGATTTCCATTATACATAGATCATGTGATAAGGTTCCATTGATTTATTGATAGCTCTTTAACAACCCTCTCCTCCCACCCTCTAGGTCTTTGTCATTCATTGGTCTCTCACTCTGCATCACCGTGATGTTCATGACTTCCTGGTATTATGCGTTGATAGCCATGCTGCTTGCTGGCATCATCTACAAGTACATCGAATTCCGTGGTGCAGAAAAGGAATGGGGAGATGGAATCCGTGGTCTGGCCCTTTCTGCTGCTCGTTACTCTTTGCTCCGCTTAGAAGAAGGTATGTTGATCATTTATGCTCTCATCTCTTACGCTAAGATTATTATTTATTAATTCAGACTATATAATAAGTCTGTCTGTGTGCGCACAGACACACATACACAGACATACATACAGGCACACACACACACATAGGTAAAGCCAAGAATGAAGCTGGGTCTGAGAGTAGCTCATGCAGAAGAGTCCCTTACTCGATACTGCATTTATTTTTTATTTTATGGTCATAGATTTATCCCACTGACAAAAGACTTTCCCAAGCTACATGATGAGCACTGTATGCTTAGAAAAGGATCTAACATGGAAATTATGGATACTAAACATGACAGAAGTTAAGCCCAGTTTGCCATGATATGATTGGACATACCTACCATGAAAGGTTAAGTAAGATTTAATTATGCAATTTTATCTAGATAAGAAACACTTATTATGTAGATTTTGAAAGACAAGTGTCAAAAACTTGTTGATGAACAAGAGAAAAACATTTTTACATGGCCATCCATACCCAAGGGCATTTCCCCTGCCTAGTCATCACTCTGTATACCCTGTAGTAGATAATCATTGTAATGAGTGAATGTATTGACAGATATGAATTTTAAAATGCAGATGCTGTATTCTTTATGACAACTTGTTTTATTTTAGGTCCACCACACACCAAGAACTGGAGACCACAGATTGTAATCCTTGCCAAATTAACGAAGGACCTTGTTCCCAAGTATAAGAAGCTTTTTACTTTTGCATCACAGTTAAAAGCTGGAAAGGGTCTCACAATGGCAGTGTCAATTATTGAAGGGGATTATGTGGTAAGTGGATGATATTTTTATGACTTTATCTCATAAACATTTTTTTGTGATATATTTAGACATGTATATTTATAAACATATGCATCCTTGTTAGAAGATAGTGCCGTAATGTCATCTAACCTTCCAAACAGAAAAGTTATGGTGAGGCTTTAGCTGCAAGACAGAGTCTGCGCAGAGCCATGGACGAGGAAAAAGTAAAGGGCTTTGTGGACACACTGGTTGCCAAGAACATGACTGAAGGAATTAGTCATATGTAAGCTTTAGTGATGATTCTGTATAACTTTTTTATTTCTTGTAATAAGGGTATTTGTTCTCTAATTGTAGAGTTCAACTTATTGTATAGATTAGGAATAAATGTTGTCATTTAGAGCAATGAAATTATATTAAAACATGTATCTTCATTTCATATATTCCATTTAATCATTTCACTGTAAGAGTAATCTTGAAAGATTTGCTTGAAATATAAAATTAGGCAACTTGCAGTTACATCAATAGTCCAATAGTATGGCTGAAAGGGAAATATCATCATCTTATATCTGCATTTTTCTCTATAGCATCCAAACTTGCGGTCTTGGAGGGATGAAGCCAAACACAGTTATTCTTGGTTGGCCCTATGGCTGGCGGCACTCACCCGATGAGCGTTCATGGCGTGTGTTCCTTGATACTGTGCGCAATGTTTCTGCTGCAAAGATGGCTCTTCTTGTTCCTAAAGGCATTAACTTCTATCCAGACTCTATGACAAAGGTAAGATGACATGATTTTAAATGAAAAAGGAAATTATATAAAGGCCATTGTGGCCTACAGAAATATAGTTTGGTTTATTATTATATAAAAATATTTTTGTTTTATATTTTTGGGGAATTTTATGTGCCTAAGGAATGCTAGATTTTAATTCTGGAAAATCATGGGCATGATTTGCATTTGCATGATATTTAACATAAAATTTGTTTTATGGACAGCAATAGAGTTAAGGTACAATTAGGCAAGTTTGAATGGGATCCTATCATTTTGGGACAGAAAATACAGAAACATTTCCTGAATGGACTTACAGGATGATGACAGTTGGCAATACACCTAACATGAGTTAGAGGGAATTTACTGTATCAGATGTGATTAAAACTGATTATCATGTTAAATGTGAAATGCTTGTTAAGGACAGTAGATCTCAGTTGAGATAGATGCCCCACAACCTCACATTGAAACAGATTATCACTATTACTATTGTTTATTTATCTGCATTTTAAAAAGTATTTGAAGTTATATGTAGCGTCAGTTAGTAGTACTAATTAGAAAAAAAGGAACTAAAGTTATATTAAACACAAGTTGCAGAACCCCTGTTTGTGGTACTGATAATTTAGGAAGTTAAATATCCCATGTTAAATGGAAGGTACCAGGAGTATATCCATTTAAGGAATAAATTTTCATGCTAGTAACTGGATGTGTTCTCTAGGTTTCAGGTACAATTGATATTTGGTGGATTGTGCATGATGGAGGTCTCCTCATGCTGCTGCCCTTCCTTCTCCGGCAGCACAAGGTGAGATGCGCCCAATCAAGTGTGCAAAAACACTGAATTTTTCATATTAGGAATTCGGTATTGTAGTTATTAAGAAAAAAAATATAGGGGGAAAAATTTATGTAACTGACTAAGGGTATCCGTGTACACTTAAAAGTCAAGTTTTTACTTTTTTTGGGGGGGCGGGGAGGAAAAAGGATACATAATTTCCTGGGATACTGTAGATTTAGTAGTTGAGGAATAAGATTTTATGATGATAAACAATAGATGAAATAAAGATATGTATACAATTCTTGGTGATAGATTTTGAAATCATGTATTATATAAAGTTTTTGAAATACTCAGGTGTGGAAGAACTGCAAGATGCGCATCTTCACCGTTGCTCAGCTTGAGGACAACAGCATACAAATGAAGAAGGACCTGAAGACATTCTTGTACCACTTGCGTATTGATGCTGAAGTTGATGTTGTGGAAATGGTGGGTAGTCATTTAATTAATTCAGTGTGTTAATTATGGAATGAATGTACTGTAAAAGGTAATTGGTAATGAATTTTTGTAACTTTTGAAGTTTTTTCTTTTCTTTTCTTTTCTTAGACATATATTGACTTCAATTTTGTATATGATAATTCCTTGTTTTTTTTGTTTTTTTTACCATTCCTTTTGAATTGTATAAATATAGAAATTTACATATACTTCTTTGCAATATTACAGATGGACAGTGACATCCAAACATACACATATGAACGCACACTGATGATGGAGCAGCGCACACAGATGTTGAAAGAACTACGACTCAACCGCAAAGAGAAACTCAATATTGTAAGTGTTTCTATCTGTTTTGACATTACATTACATTACGTTACATTTAATTGAAAGAGGGCTTGTTTAGTTGATATAGCGGGTTTTAAATTTGGTAGAATACTCAAATACAATATTAGACCTTCCCATGTAGATGTCTGATTCTTGTGCTTTCCAGTTTTAAAAGGTACATTGTACTGAGAGATTTCTTTTTATGATAAGTTTAATCCATATCTTTTCAGTATGACTTTAAATTTTAATTAGTCATGAAGAACTTCCTTTCCTTGGATCCTAATGTCATACAGGAAGTAGATCCTTTGTAATATGTCTGTTGCTCGTAATATTTCTTTGGCTAAATTTTGGTATGAAATTCAGAGCAATGTCAGTAAATTATTAGCGCTATCTTGTAAGGTATTATGTAAGTCTAAGGTTCCTCATTTGTGATTTATATAAAACAAGCGTTTTAAAGGCATAGGTTGAAGGAGTAAAAATGTACTCCCCCCCCCCCCTCCCTTTTTCATTACAGTTATAGTCGAGGTTAAGTGTATGTGTATTGTAGTAGATTTGCTTGTTCTTTATGGCTAAGACAATGTATTTGCATTTATTTGTAAAGGGCATATAGTATTAATGATTTCATTAAGTTAAGACCTAGATAGTAATGGATTATATTGAATTTATCCTTTAATGAATATTCTTTTTTTTTCTCAGAATTTCATATATTTTCATGTTATTTATGCAGATGTATGTAGTTTTAAGGTGCAGTTTCATTATATACGTAGATCTGAAATCTATATATTTGAAACTTCATGAGATGAACATTCTGATAGGTATTAATCATTAATCTTACTTTCTCTTGGAACTTGAAATATTTCTTTATACTTTATCTTACCCTGTCACCTCTCTTTCCTGTCATGCGGCAACAATAGTCGGAACTAGGGTTTGAGACTGCCAATATTGAAGACAAACTTCCTCTGGTGTGTGTTAAGTTGCTTGTGTTCTCTCTGTCGTACAAGCAAATTGTGTCACTCTTTTTAGGGTTTGCATGCTAGGTGACAATGTGCATGAATATCCATGAATCACTTTACCAAGCAGGGCTGCCACTAAACTGTATAAATCCACTTCTTTTCATTTGTTTACTAAGGATAGTAACAATCTTATCTGGTAGTTACAGGATTAGATAGGGATAAAGCAGATTAATGTTCCAATAATGCCCTTTGAAAAGAGTCCCTTTTTTTTTTTTTACTTATCTTGTTTACAGCATATCTAAAAAAATTAAGAATAAGTCATGATAATGATTCATGTTGATATATAAATTATGTAAATAATTGGTGTCAATTTGACCATGATGGTATTTGAGATGGATTGTAGTTTCCGACAAACAACTACTAGTTTTTGATAGTTTTATCAGAGGACCCTAATGCCTTACCTATTATAGGATAAAAGCAAAAAATAAATTGATCTCCCAGGTTTCCCTAAGCTGTAGCTGATGACGCTGCTAAATGGGAGTACTTTACAATAGGTTTAAGTGACCAGTGAAAAGATAACAGGCAGTTTGAAGTGCTACTACGCTAGATATTCTGCATCAGCTGTTCTAGTTTCTCAAGTCATGTAGTAGGGACTTAGAGGTATCTGTGTCATATCTGCAGAGGTGGTAAGTCTAGAGACTGAAGTAAGACTGCAGACTTTAAATAGCAGATTAGAAGGAAAAGGCTGCAAATTGACACAGCTCTCCAAATTTGCTTGTTTGCACAACTTCTCTTGATATTGCCATCATGTTTGCTTTTTTTCATAAATGCTTATTTGAAATTTGTGCAGGTTTTGGCAGCATATTGAATATGAAGCTCACAGACCATGATACCAGTGTATTTCCTCCTTAATTGCAGTTTATAGAAATTGAAAATACATTTTCATGTGAAAGATTAATAAAAAAAAAGTAGAAACAAGTAGAGACATGGCAAGCAGAAGTCAGTCTTTGATAAAAATTAAGGAGAGGAAAGATAACACATCTAGCATGCAAAAGTGTCAGTATGATTATTTTATGTTGGAAGTTATTATGATATATTTTGAAATTGTATAATTTCTATTTTTTTTTCTCTTTTTCTCTGGTAAAGTTTTATAATTATTAGTCTCACTTTTGCCATGCAGACCATATTGAGCAAACCTTCTTATTAATTTTAGTGAAAATTGTAAATTTATCATTGTCACACGCCTAACCACTGTGATAA